GAAGGTCCCAGGAAGGCCCACTGCAGGCACATCAGCCCACAAAGGGCTGCAAGCAGAGCTACCTCAGATGGCTCAAGCTGAGGAGTTATGTGGAATATAATAAAATCTCTGGAAGCGAGTGACGCCGCTCTTTTGCGGTCCGGAGTCCGGAGTTGCTAGTTTGAGCTTCCAAGCACGAAACAGCACCATCCTTTTTGGGACCAAGAAGGTGTGAAGCATCGCTAGTGTGGGACCTTCACCATCGTCGTGGACGAGTTTCTAACCGCATGGGTCTCCAAGAGAAAACGTCGAAGCAAAATTTGGGTTCGTTCCACAATTCTCGGCAGACTCTTCATCTAACTACTCCCCTTCAATCGGCCGCGGCACGCCAGACCGTCTCGCCATGGCTTTGATGAGAAGCGAGCGACGGGGTCACCGGTGCGTCGGGGCCAAAAGAACTGAAGCATTGATCATCAACCCGTCTTTGGCAGAACATCCGCAGAACTTCAGGGCGAAGTGAATCGAGTGAAATGAATGTGTGAAATGACCGAGAAAAAACCAGGGTGTCACACCATGAAGTTCAGCGATGAAGACCAAAAATCGGAGCATCTGATGATGTTGGAACGTTGAGAGCACACCAAGATCACACCTGCCGGCAAGGAAAGTACACAAGGTCCCAAATAAACTCAACACCTGAAACTACCGTAGAACAGCCTGATGCTTCTCATTTGCAAGAGCAAAGAATTCTCCTTACCCAGGCGTCTAACAAACAACTGGTGCCAATGTTTAGCCGTTGCAGATCTACGGATTGCTGCAATTGCTACCAAGACAAGGGATTGCAAGGCCTCGAATTGTTTGCCCTGGATAGACTCGGCAGTTTCCGGTTTCCCGCCTCCCTTCGGTCACCGGCTGTTCCTCTTGTTTCTACAGTAAAAACGGTGGCGCTCGGTTTGTTGGTTCGTTGCCAAAAGCGGGTGCCCCGATCAGCGGAAGCCCACGGCAGCCTGGAGGCGAGCGAGTGGGTGGGACCCATCAACCTCCTGGTTGGCCATCCACCTCCCCTTTGGTGCAAGCTTGAGCCTCCAGAGGTTGGTTCGAGGTACAGTACCCCAAATGGTTCCATGTTTCGTGCGCATGCGGACCGCAGATTGGACACCGGATGCC